CTTCATTTCATGCTCGGATTAATCTCTTTTCGACTTCCGACTCGAAGCTTAAGACATCTGTATGGTTTAATTAGTACTATAACTGTTTTTTTTGCTATGATAATTTCCATAAATATTTTATGGAGATATATAATAGGTAATTCTGATTATTGTTTTTTATTTCCATGGATAGTCAATGATAATATTTCTTTAAAATTAGGCTTTTTTATTGATCTAACCTTCTTTGAAATAATGCTAATTATTCTTTTTCACAATATGTTATTGTATTATTAGATTAACAATAGTAGATTAAGATGGGATTCAAACAATTTTGAAAAGAAATGAATTTTTATCTTGAATTTATTTTATGTTCTATGATTATAATCAATTTACATACTTCAATCAAAAAATATACTTATTTTTACAAACAATGCTATTTTTAATATCAATGAAGGAGATTGTTTTCGATTTGCATATGAGATCATAACAGTCCACCGTCCACACTTCATATAGGAGAATGAATCTGAGTGTCATAATCTGCACTTGGAAGGAAAACTAACATCTCTGAAAATATTATATTTAGATTATTTGGGTGTACTAGCAGTCGTTTCACAGGGTAGATTGCAAACGGCAGAACAATGACCTGCATAGATGGAGTCGTCATACGATTCATACTCTTCTTGCGATGTCCAGATTACTAATTACCTACTCATCTATCCTGCCATCTATACAACTGTTCTAACTACTAGTAGCTGCCTGAAAAAGGTGCATGCTGCCCCCAACCATAACCGAAGACATCAACAACAAGCTTTGGAGCTGTGAAGCTGTCTATTCTGAAGTTCAAACCACGGAGAAGGCTTGTAATTACATCAACGACTCTCAACAAACTAACAACTTTGAGCTAAGTAACAGATGAAGTGAACAAAAGGCTTTCTCATGGGACTTTCGAAGCTAAGGGGGAAGGTATGCGAAATTTAGACCCTCGGCAGTGTCTGAAAGATGTCGTGCCCGAGAGGTGCTTCGGCCGCCTCGGTGGAGAGGTGCTAAGGAGGTGCTTCAGTTGGCTCGATGGGGAGGTGTTTTGGCCGGCTTGGTGTGGAGGTGGTGGGGTGGTGCTTCAGCCGGCTCGGTGGGGAGGTGGTGGGGGGGTCGGGTGGGGGTGCTTCCGCCGGCTCGATGGGGAGGTGCTTCGGCCGACTCGGTGGGGAGGTGGTGGGGAGGTGCTTCGGTCGACTCGGTGGCGAGGTGCTTCGACCAGATCGGTTGGGAGGTGGTGGGGAGGTGCTTCGGCCGGCTCGGTGGGGAAGTGGTGAGGAGGTGCTTCGGCCAGCTCGGTGGAGAGGTGCTGGGGAGGTGCTTCAGTTGGCTCGATGGGGAGGTGCTTCGGCCGGCTTGGTGTGGAGGTGGTGGGGTGGTGCTTCGGCCGGCTCAGTGGGGAGGTGGTGGGGAGGTGCTTCGGCCGGCTCGATGGGGAGGTGGTGGGGAGGTGCTTCGGTCGGCTCGATGGGGAGGTGCTTCGGCCGGCTCGGTGGGGAGGTGCTTCGGTCGGCTCCGTGGGGACGTGCTTCGGCCGACTCGGTGGGGAAGTCATGGGGAGATGCTTCGGCCAGCTCGGTGGGGAAGTGGTGGCGAGGTGCTTCAGCCGGCTCGGTGGGGAGGTGGCGGGGAGGTGCTTCGGCCGGCTCGGTGGGGCGGTGGGGGGCTCGGTGGGTAGGTGCTTTGGCCGGCTCGGTGGGAAGGTGGTGAAGAGGTGCTTCGCCCGGCTCGGTGGGGAGATGGTGGGGAGG